TGGTGCTGACTGGGTGTGGGGAAAGTCTTCCGTTACCAGGGGAAAGAAGGAAGTGGGACCGACCGGACATTGTGAAGAGTGAGGAGGGCGTGGTGGAGCCATGTGGCCTTAAGGAGAGAATAAATAGGGATCAAGGACTGAGCGCCAAGCCAACCTCTCAAGAAAAAGCTTAGCTGTCAAAGGAAGGAGAAAGTTACAATAAAAAGGGCGAGGAGAGGTACACAGGAGAAAAGGTTCATGTGGGTGAAACTTTTTTTTACACATTGAGTAGAAAACGTCAGGTTGAGAACTTGCAAATGGGTGAAAGGAATGGTAAGTGATCATTTGAGATCCCCAAGAGAGCAGAGGGAAGTGCGCAGCTATAAGAAGCTAACACACAATGGCAAGGGTATCTTTATGGGAAGGCAGCTTCTTCCTTCTGCCGTGAATGAAGGGTTGCCCCCATCCTTGCCATCTCAGAGGGCTGTTTCTAGCTTACGCTTTTCTTATACACCAGTATCTCCTTTGCAGCACATATTCAGAGGACTCGATCGCAACCCTTAAGGCAGCGGTTCTCAACCTTCCTAATGCGCGGCCCTTTAATACAGCTCCTCATGTTGTGGGGACCCCCAACCATAAAATTGTTTTCGTTGCTACTTCATCACTGTAATTTTGCTACTGTTATGAATCGTAATGTAAATATCTGATATGCAGGATGTATTTTCATTGTTACAAATTGAGCATAATTAAAGCATAGTGATTAATCACGAAAAACAATATGTAATTATATATGTGTTTTCTGATGGTCTTAGGCGACCCCTGTGAAAGGGTCGTTCGACCCCCAAAAGGGTCGCGACCCACAGGTTGAGAACCGCTGCCTTAAGGGCTAACTCTGAGGTTGGTATTGTTTACTGTGTTAAAGATCTTTGCTCCTATAACTTGGCATGATGATATTCTGACCACCCAACTCCATTTTGGGATTATCATTGGACTGATATATCCGATATATCAATAAGTCAGGATGTATAGATTGATTTTAAAGAATTAAAGAATTGGCTCACATGATTGTGGAGAATGGTAAATTCCAAATCTGCTGGGTAGGCAAGCGGGCTGGAGACTGAGGCAAGAATGATGTTGCAGTTCAAGTTCAAAGACAGTCTAGAGGTAGAATTCCCTTTGCGTTGGGGACCTCAGTCTTTTTTCTCTTAAGTCCTTCAACTGATTGGATGAGACCCACCTACATTAGGAAGGGCAATCTGCTTTACTCAAAGAATACTCCTTTAAATGTTAATTGCACCTAAAAATTCCTTTACAGTAACATCCACAATATCTGGGTACTATGGTTTCACCAAGCTGACACATAAAATTAACTGTCACAGTTCCCATTGCATCCAGGTGTGGGGATTAAATGAAGTAACACATACAAAGGATCTGACAGAACAAACAAGACACCAGGGAACCAAACAGCGATGTGGTGTGGATGTGTGTGTTTTAGTTCTTTATCAACAGCATGGATTTTAAAGATGCTTGAGGGAATACAGAAAACATTTGAAATATGTATGTAATACAAAAAGGATTTTGAAATACCTAATGTTACTTCTCTCTATAGTCTTAAAACAACATAATTTGGTACAGTATTATGTTGCTACAAAGTAATAATTAACAGCATATTTTTTCCTGAGACCATGAGTAGCAATAATCTCATCCCTTTCATAGTAAATATTTTGTCTTTTACTTTCCTAAAATTCATAAATAATGCAACCTTCTTATACATGTAATTTATAACAGATCAATACAATGCACTACACTTACTACTTAAAAAGTAATTTATATTAATATTAGAGGCCTGGTGCACAAAATTCTTGCACTGAGGTGGGGGGTAGGAGCGGAAGGATCCCTCAGCCCAGCCTGTGCCCTCTTGCAGTCCAGGACCTTTTGAGAGATGTCTACCTGCCGGTTTAGGCCCAATTCCTCCGGGGATCGGGTCTAAGCCAGCAGTCAGACATCCCTCTAGCAGTCCTGGGTTCTCACAGTCCAGGACCCCTCGCTCCTTACCACCCACCTGCAGCAGAGGCATGAGAGGCTCCCGCCACTGCCACTGCGCTTGCCAGCCGTGAGCCCAGCTTCTGGCTGAGTGGTGCTCCCCCTGTGGGAGCGCACTGACCATCAGGGGGCAGCTTCTGCATTGAGCGTCTGCCCCTGGTGGTCATTGTGCATCGTAGCAACCGGTCGTTCTGGTAGTTCTGCCCTAACGGTTGCGAAGGCTTTTATTATATAGACTAGAGGCCCGGTGCACAAAAATTTGTGCACTCGGGGGGAATGGGGGGTCCCTCAACCCGGCCTGTGCCCTCTCGCAGTCTGGGACCCCTTGGGAGATAACGACCTGCTGGCTTAGGCCTGCTCCCGGGTGGCAGAGGGCAGGCCCAATCCCTAAGTGCAGCCCCTGGTCGGGCTCAGAGCAGGGCCGATTGGGGAGTTGGGGTGCCGCCCCCTGTCATGCACAGAGCAGGGCGATCGGGAGGTTGTGATGCCACCCTCAGTCACGCTCAGGGTAGGGCCGATTGGGGGTTGGGGCACCGTCCCCTGTCACACTCAAGGCAGGGTCGACGGGGAGGTTGCGGCGCCACCCCGTCACGCACAGAGCAGGGCCAATCGGGGTTGGGGCACTTCCCCCTGTCACTCACAGAGCAGGGCCCATCAGGGGGGTTGGGGCTCCGTACCGTCACGCACAAAGCAGGGCCGATCAGGGGGTTGGGGCACCGCAGCCTGTCACACACAGAGCCGCAGGGCAATCAGGGGGTTGGGGAGCTCCCCCCTATCAGGCACAGAGCAGGGCTGGTCAGGGGGTTGGGGCGCCTTCCCCTGTCACGAACAGGGCAGGGTGGATAGGGAGGTTGTGGCCCAGCCCCTGTCACACACAGAGCCGCAGGGCAATCAGGGGGTTTGGGCGCTGCCCCCTGCCACGCTGATCCTGGTGCTGGGAGGCATATTACCCTTTTACTATATAGGATAGAAGCCTGGTGCACAGGTGGGGGCCGGCTGGTTTGCCCTGAAGGGTGTCCTGGATCAGGGTGGGGGTCCCCACTGGGGTGCCTGGCCAGCCTGGATGAGGGGATGATGGCTGTTTGCAGCTGGTCACACACCCTTCAGGGTGGGGGTCCCCACTGGGGTGCCTGGCCAGTCTGGGTGAGGGGCTGAGGGCTGTTTTCAGGCTGGCGGGTGACTGAAGCTCCCAACCGCTCCTTTTTTTCTTTCCTTTTTTAAATTCTGGGCCAGCTTTAGCTCTGAGGCTCCAGCTCTTAGGCCTCCGCTGCTGAAAGCAGGTTTCTGGCCTTTGTTTACCTTCTGTATTTGAAACAATGTTGCGATTCTGCTGGCTGAAGCCCGGCAACTAAAGCAGGTTTCTGGGGTTTGTTTGGCTTCTATATTTGTAACATAGTTGCTTAGAGTTGCAGCTCAGAGGCCAGCAGCGGCAGGCGGGGAACGTTGGAGTCCTCCGTCACTGAAGCAAGCAAGCCTCATGTTCGTTTTAAGCTGCCTGGCTGCCGGCCGCCATCTTGGCTGGCAGTTAATTTGCATATCACCCTGATTAGCCAATGGGAAGGGTAGCGGTCGTACGCCAATTACCATGTTTCTCTTTTATTAGATAGGATATTTAAAATATAGACATTGGGGAACTAGATTAGAATAGAAAATATAATGAAATGGGTAGATGCTTACATCTGTATATAGTCTCCATGAATGCAACAGCTATAAATGAAGACTGATACAAATATGCTGTATCGATGACTCAAATTCCAGGAGTACTGTAGTTTTTGGTTATGTTTTCCAAATTATGTCAATTCTTGTTAAAATTCGGAACCTTACAAGGTCAAATCTGCCGGGGTCCACCCCCAGCAGGTCCAGGGGTCCCCAAAGGTGTGGATGGAGTCGGCGAAGAAGGAAGGACACGGAGACAGTGTTCAGTTGATCAGCAGCCTAGCCAGGATCTCCAGCCAGGATCTCCAGCCAAGTTCTGGTCTGGATCTCCAGAGAGGTTCTGCTTAGGATCTCCAGCCAGGTCCTGTGTCCATGTTGTCTTGCTAGGTTCTCCAGCCAGGTTCAGTTACCAGGTTCTAGTCAGGTTCTCTTGCCAATTTCTGTAGTCAGGTTCAGTCCAGGATCTTTTGCCATGTTCTCTCCAGCGAAGTTCTTCTGTCTCTAGAGAACGTTCTGTGTAGGTTCTGTGCCTAGGTTCTGTCTCTCTTGGTTCCATATTCTAAGTTCTGTGTCTTGCTGTCTTACTACATCTGTATTTATACCAGTTGATTCAATCCTACCAATCTCTATTACAAAGGTTAGGGCGTTTCTTATCTCCATTCCAGGGAGTAAAGATTATGTAGCTTAAGCATGATTGTTCGTAGTTAAAGTGATTAATTACCCACCTGGCACTAGTTAAGAGGTTTTATTCCCTCCCTAACTTCAGGGGAAAATCCCTACCTGGGGAAACAACCTTTCTCAGAGACCTTGGTTAAAACACATAGTGCCAAGAAGGTGAGCAAACATATTAAGAACAGTATGCCATATATGCCAGGTCCCTTGAAACAGCAAGCATGGACCGGCTCCCGGCACAAATCTTCTCAATTTATACATCAGTGACATTCCTGGAAAATTCAGCATACATGAAAATCATCTGAAAAATACACTGTGCTTTTATGAAAAGCAGAATTAAATTCTCAGCTTAGATCACTATAAACAGGTTGGTTTTTTTTACCCCCATGAATGCCCAGCATGACATTTCAGTCACTCCAGAGATGGGACAATTATTCATTCCATGGGGTGTCCCACACATCACAAGACATTTCTCCTTTCATCCTCAGCCCCCATCCCCCGTCACCCTTCATTATGCTGAGCAAAAATGGCCCTACATTTCCAACACCCCCGTTGAAAATCACTGACAATGAACTTGTTTCCACACATGAGTTCATGGATATGAGACCTCTAGATTCTTAAGTCCTAAGATTCAATATAACAAACAAATGTTCAGATAAATTCAAAAGGTTTATTGCACCAAATGCCACAAAAAAAAAAAAATGGATCAAAATAATACATGGACACGTTTTAAGAAAAAAATTTCCATACAATGACATTGATAGCTATTTAACTGATCAAAAATATAAGGTCCTATCAATTTGTCTTCATGAAGCTTCAATGGTAACAAATCCCAGAATTTTCTCCTTGTTTAAACATCACTTAAATGTAAGCATATTGCAATTTTGCTTCCAAGATATATAGTTCACCAAATTTTGACATTTAAAAATTAACATTCAGAGGGGACTGCTTGATTTAGGCAAGTATTATAACAAAATATCCCCTCCCACAAAGCACAGTACAAAACAAATGGTTCACATTTACCTAGAGAAGCTAAAGACTCAATTTAATGGTGAAAGTATGCATGAACAAAATAGTTCCAAAAGTACATAAGACTGGAAAAATCCAGACATTTAAAAGAATTTGGGGGGGGGTCACTTTATATTCTTTATTTTTATGTACAACCAACTCTAGTGAAGAACCTGAAAAGCTACAGACTAAATTTTTATAAAATCTCAGGACCTAATGATAAGAGCCCCAAACAACAGTTTAGTATCATTTAGCAAGCAGGAATTTCCCTCCCTCCAAAAAAGTTAATTTTGAAAAATATGGTAAGTTTAAAAAGTTGTGATGTGTAAACGGCAGTTCCATGGGATGTGAAAAGATTATAGTTACTTTCATTAAAAAACAGCACACTTCAGAAAAATGGATCGAAGCCTGTACAAAAAGCTATTTAACACTGATAAAAATAAAATACTTTGGAGTTATGCACAAGTATGGAAGCTACATTTTAAATTTTCATTGTCATGTTTAAACATACACAATTATCTTTACATTTGTATCACGTATCAATCTATTAAAAATAAAACTGCGACATGCTAGAAAGAGGGCCATCACAGGAACACGTATACACTCTGCTCTGTCATGCCTCACTAGCTTGCTTAAAGAAGCAAGATTCTACAAAAGCTACACTCAACAGGTAAGACTTAAAAGTTGAAGAAACCCTAAAGGTGGAATCCTGTCAACTGAGGTAGTTTTTTCAAAAAATTTTTTAAAAAATTTTGTTTTTTGAGGTGGGCATGAGAGAGGGTGGAATCCCTTTTTTGCTTCTGCAGCTAAGACAGAATGAAGTCACTGGGTGGTGTATGGTGTGTGAGTGGGTGTATCTCAACACAAGCCCATGAGATTCTTTTTCTTTTCTACTTTTGGGAAGAGGTTGAATTTAAGACAGACAAAACTTGAATGCTATTTAAAGGAGGGTTCTAAAAGAGCAGCAACATTCTCAGTCTGTTTCTCCAGGCAATAGGTGTGAGGATTAGGTTCTGACCGGAACCCTGAGCATCACTGAAACCATCCCCACGTGTGACCCACCTGTGGTTTTCCAACAGACGTTTCCAAGAGTTTTGGAAAAGTAGATTAAAAGGCAAATGAAATCTTTTCAGGTTTTGAGGGGGCTGGGCTCAATCTTTTATGTATGAAGTTTAGAATCAGCCTTTTAAGTCTCAATTTCCCCCTATATGGGTCTAATTTTCAACATGCCACATAAGAATGGAATTGATTTTGGATTTAGTTATATTCTATGAAACCCTGGAAGGCGGTGAATGAGGGAAAGTGCCCAAACGTGTAAACAAGGAACAGGGAACAAGAGATGAGGGAATGCTTTAAACTGGTGCAGATGGAAATGATGTAACACCAGCCTGACCATTCATTTACATGTAATGAAAAGCAAGTGACGAGTGAGCTGAGCCACAGGTAAGGCTCATTCTCTCTGTGTAACATCACAACAAGCAATGAGGTCATGGAACCAGAGAATTTAAAATACAAACTCAGATGTTAGGCAAAAGAAAACAGAAAAATCTACAAAGGATGGAAAATTTCAATTTTATGAAAGAAAGACATAAAATAAAAATTAAAGATCTTAAGAGCTTTAATGCACCCATCTACATTTCACATCATAAAAAAAAAAGAGCGGAAGGCAGCAAATCTGACTCATTCCTAAGAAGTAATACACCCATTTTTTCCCATTAGGTGCTCTTTCAAACAAGTAATTCACTTGCATTTGTAAAAGAAGAGACACGCTTATGTAACTTGGTGTTTAAGATAGGATTTTATCAAATAGAAAATCTGAAGTCATTCTAACCCCTAGTCGGGAAGTTACTTCATTTTCTTATAAAAGAGTGAAAGGAAATTGGAGCCTGGTTATAATTAGCTAACAATGTTCTGTTTTACTAGATCAGCTCTTGTCATTTAATGATCAATTTTTTAAGTCGTTTTCTTTATCTTGGATGTCAGTACATCGTCTGACAGGGTCATAGTTCATGGTCAGTAAACTAAGAAAAATTTATTTTGTAGTAACAGAAAATTACATGTTTCGTGTTTTTTATTTTTTTAAAGTCAACTATGCTAGCAAATAAACAATTCCTCATTTTGGCAGGTTCGATACTATGGGGGAGTTACTTTCTGGAACAGTGTTTTGAAAAGTATGTAGGAATTAGAAGGCACAGAGATGATAATGTAAAAATGTAGACCATGTATGAATTGTTTATAAATGTTCAAACTAATTGCTTTCATTAGTCATCCTGAACTGTTGCAGGTTTCATTTCCCACCAGGACAGCTGTGCCTTGTAGAGTATAAATAGTCATTTGTATTAGCTATTACAGGAAGAAAGTGGCTTTGGCTAGAAGAATTTAGCAAAAGGAATACTCTTGAGCTTATAGAAATAACTTTGGTAAATGGCCTCTCTTAAAAAGGCTGCTGAAAGCTCTGAAGTATAAGGTTAAACACACGGTATCAGGCTGTGTACTTTGCTGCTACAAACTCCATCCTGATGGGATTAAGATGCTACATTGATTCTTGGGTTTATTGCACCAACAATCCACCTCTAACCTACCTGTGGCTGTATCTGAGACAAGGAAAACTCCAAGAAGATGTGAAAAGAGCGGGTCCCTATAGCACTCTCTTCCCAACAGTCAATATTCTTCCCTGTTTTAGGTCAGACTGTCGCTCCCACAGCCACCAGAGCTGACAAGGGCCCATGTGGCTTTCTTTACTTCACCTTTTGTAAAAAGCAAACTCCAAGTTGGAATCTGAAGTCCTTTCCTGATGTCTTCTTAGGATAGTGGAATATGCTTTCTCCAGCGTGGAGAGCTCATGCGTCAGCTCTGAAGCATTTTCCTGCTGGAATGGTCTGCACATTGTTTACCTCCTGCTCCAAAGTCCCTTGTCGTTTGTCCCGAACACACAAGGCGAGCAGTACCAACAGCTTAGTGTGTAGTGTAGTGCATATGCTTCCTCCTTCCAGAAAGGTCACTCTCTCTGTTGACTCCTGGGTAACAAAGACCTACAGTGTTCATGGGAAACACACATGCCATTATGTCAAGTAAACCTAAGTTCCAATAAAGCATCCACTTGAAAGCAACAAGATAAAACAAGACAAAGCGGTGGAATGACTGTTTCTGTTTGCTCTTCTTATGCTTTGGACGTCATGGAGAGCTTATTCTCTTCTCCTCCACATGAGAATGTGTGTGTTTTTCCTGCCAAGGAAGAATGGTCCTGAGCTTAAGCTTATAAGAGGATCTGAGCCACGTACGGGGAATGAGTACTGGCGACAGCAGTCAACAGAGGCAGGTCATTCGATTCAATCCTGAATATTGAATAAAAGGAGAAGATTATTAATTTAAAGTAACACGATTCTGCAGTTCAGTATTATTGCTAGGGACCAAGTTTGCTAGATCATTGCTTAAAACAAAAGAAAAAGTAAGAGGGAGAGCAAGATGATAAACCTGTTCTTTTAATTATGACTTCCTAGTGGACAATGACCAGAGGACAAAGGCCAGGAGGTGTGCTGGGCACACGTGTGGACATAAAACTGTTCTTCCACAGCAGGGGCCACCGAGTCCACGCCCATAACTTTCCTGGGTTCCCTGTACAGCCTCATTGTTATACTTTAATGTTTCCTCCACTGTCTCCTCATTCATCCCTAATGCACACAGACTCTGCTCCTAAGTTACAACTAGTCTTAGGAAAATGATGAAGGTGGCAATTTCTTCAAAAACCTTGGGCTTTGTTCAACAGGTTATACAAGTTAGATAACATTAAGCAACATTCTGAGAGAAAGCAACACTAACAGATGCTGAGTCAAGAGACATGGCATCAGATGGACCTGGCTTTGGCGGCCTCTCTTAAAGCAGAGGCGGATGTAGCATGGACCAGGCTAAATGCTGACAAATGTCCTGAGAAAAAGGAGGACTGCTTCAGTCCGTGAAATATGTCCTAATCTTTCCATTGAATTCCACAAAAAATTAAAAATGAAATTCCAATGACCTCATGGAGTTTTTCCTATGCCTTTTCCAGTAATGCTCCCTGCAGGTCTACTTCCAGGTCTGCCGCAGGGAGCGCTGTGGCCCTGACAGTGGGGAAGGGGCTAGAGAGGCTGGGGATGATTCCCACTAATCATCTAAATCAGAATTAAGAAACAGAACTAAGAGATCTAAATCAGAACTAAGAAAAACAAACAAACAAACAAACAAACAAACACAAGCAAGAGATACTCTGTAAGTTAACTGCAAAAGCAAATGCCTCCAAAGGGGGAAATATTTTTAAAATGAGGTAAGAAAAATGTATAACATGAAGTTCTAAGAGCCAAACACAAAAACACAGTAAAGGCCTGAGTCTTGATACTTTGATTAGCAGGCTTAAAAGAAAATTTCAAGGTCGACAATACATACACAATATTTTCTTGCCCAAATTAGGGGAACCATCATGGTAGGTAAGGACAAGTCCCCACTTCTTCTTTAGAGAAGTCACGGCAGAGACCCTCAGGAAGATGCTGTACAACATGAGTAACATAAGCAAGTCTCCTCTCCTGGTGGGCTTACCATTCCAGGGAGGAAGGTACAGCCTGCCCCCATGAACAGACAGGCAGGCCCCTGCCTCCCAACATGGCTGCATCGCACAGCTTGTGACTTGGACATCTTACTGAAATGACTACAGATGGGCAAACAGAGTGGAGTGTAATTTTTCACGTTCACACATAAAATAACCCAGGGAGAAGATTAACATAAAGTACCACCAGCTTAAAGTTCTGCGCTTATTTCCACTATCAGAAACAAGGAACATGCTGTTAATTGGAGAGCAGCAGAGGCACATGCCTGATGGTCCCCAAACCCTTCAAGGTGGCACAGGCTGAATGGGTCTGTGGGTACAGTGCTAGGGACAACCCCATTACAGGGAGAAGAAAGGGTGACACTTCACCGAACTCACCCCAGTACGACACCTAATTCTTTCACATGGACTCGTGTGTGTCCACGAAGATATTCAGATAGCATCTTACTTTTCAGGTACAACTCCTGTAGTCGATCTTCAAGATGCATGATGCACTGTGAAGCCAATAACATTCACAATGAGGGCTAGAATGGAAACCTCTGCCAGCATTCAGAGCTAGGGTTCTCCTGATTCATTCTTAAGTCTATAACTATAATCTAATCTCTTTCAAATACCCTTAAAAAGTTACAAGCCATCTCAAACCCTATCACCAGCAGGTTTTGTAAAACAAAGTTTATTTCTTCCGATGACTAATAAGATTTTCATATATTATCTTCTAGTCTTTTCTAAAAAGCATTTGTTGAAATCATTCTATAAGTGCTTCTAAAAAAACTTTGTAATAATCCTTTCCCTGTTAGTAAAAATTCTTTATCAATGTAATTTTATGGCTACATGTTTTTTAAGATTGTCCATTTACCATTATTTACTTACCACATAGCAATTTGCATTTTTGTTCTAAACATTGTAAAGGACATCTCTGTTGTTGTAGTATTTCCCTACATATCAGATTATTTGGGCACAATACATTCTCAGAAGTATATTTTGAAGGTTTTTTTTTTTTTTTTTGGCTCTGGAGTCTATTTTAACTAGGTCTTTAAAAACAATAAAGAAAGGGCAATTATTTTCAGGACATCACTACCCTTGGAATTGTGTCCAACTTCATTTTTTAGAGAATAGCAACCATCTGTGTCTTTCACCAGAGGCAAATGCTTTTGCATTTGGCAGGAAGAGCTCTCCAAGCATCTTCAGTAAGACACCTGATGGCTTTGGCAAGGGTAATTCTATCACACATAATTTTCTTCTAGACCATTACGCCTGCTATTTTCAAGGTAAAAAAGATTAACAGATGCATTTGAGAATGTTGATCTTGACCATCTGGCCTGATCAGTGACATGGAAAAAGTATCCATTAGAGATGTAATCTTTTCAGTTTTCCATTGGCTTCAAATCTTAAATGCCTTGTGTTGGGTGGATGAAACACAACTGGTAAGTGACTAAGAATAATAATCAAAGCAAGGAGGACTTCACCAATGAACATGGTCCCCCAAATAAACGAAGTTTAGTGGTGAAAGCATCTCCCTTCTGTTAAGTTTTAGTTCCTTATGGAGTAAATATAAAAATTTTAATAAGAATATTATAAAATATTAAAAAATATTCACATTACATGAATCCTTTGTGTTTTAGAATAGTTAATCTGCAGTGTATTCATAGTCTCCATGAAAATTATATGCTGTGATGTCAAAATAAAGAAAACATTGGTCTATATGGAATGTATACTATTTTTGAAATCAAAATATTTAGAATTTTTTTTAAAAGGCTTGATTATTAAATAGAAGTTTTTCCATTTTTCCTTCTCCTTTCAGGTCTCTTAATCCTGAGATGGGTTTTTTTAATTTTTAATTTCTGAAAATTTAAATAGCTACTTTCCCTTTTATACTGATGGCTCTAATAGGCATTTAATCATGTTTCATTGAAATGATTTTTAAGGTGAATTTTAAACTGCAGATGAAATTTCTTCTGATCTTGGTTTTGTCAGGCTAAGTAAGCCATGCATATTATTAAGTGGTTAAACATATTTTGGTCCAAATGAAGAAAAAAGTCAGCTACAGTAATTTATTGGTTGGAAAATGAAGATGTCAAAAGTAACAAGAGCTACGTATTAGAGAATAAAATATGAAAGTTGGTAAATACTTAAAACAGTAAGAAACTATAAAATCTAACATATCTTCCTTCCCTTACAGAAAAAGGGATTTCAGCCTCAAAATCAGTCTGATGCAACTTGCTACTAGAAAGAAAAACCGACTCTAAATATAGAACAAAAGTTAGATGATAGGAACCTGAGAGTTCCTCACACGATTACCCCAGGGACAGGTGATCTGCAAGAACAAACTTCAGTTTAAAGCCCAAATAAAGATTTTAGTGAAAAGGTGGTGTTGGTCTTTACAACCAGTAACTCTGTTTTATGAAAGTGGTTATTAATAATCACATGGACAGTAGCTGCCTCTGAGTGCTTAGAGCATCTAATACCATCCCAAGTGCTTTACGTGAATCATCTAATTTTCTTTTCTAACCATATGAGTTAGGTTCTATTATATCCCCAGCTTTACAGATAAGGGAATTGAGAAGTCACACAAGAAGCAGCTGAGCCTGTGTTTGACTTCAGGCTATTGGACTCTCAAGCCCAGGCAGTGGCCACTACTGTATACTGGCTGTTTAACCTCTGCTTTGGCCGCTGAAAAAGCAGTAAGTACCTCAGCCCTAATTTTCAGAGGATTCTCTTAACATGCTTGTTACAAATGAGAAAGCTGAGGTTCAGAGACACTTGTCCACCATCACACAACTGATTGATGGCAAAGCCTAGACTTGAACCCAGTCACTGTTATGCCACACTGTCTACTTAGACAGTGGGTTATATTGAAATAACAGAGGGTTATTTCAAAGCACCTTCTTCAAGGCCATAAAAATCCTGACTATTTCTGAGACATGTGGTACCACTGTAGATTCAGCCATAAGAACCCAGGAAAATTACCCTCCATTAGCAATTAGCGCAGGTAATTAATATTCAGCTTCCAACTTTGTTGTTAAATATCTCTGTATCTTTTGTGGAGGCCAGAAGGGAGATAACAAATGTTCTGGTTTGGGGTTATTCTTTAGAGAGCAAAAGCCTGCAGAGGGAGGAAGGAGCAAAGAAGGTGAGCGTAACTTATATCTAAGCCCATGTCCCCAAGTTTCTCCTAGTGATGCCCTCAAGCCTCACTCCCACTTTTCTCCCTTCCCCTCTAAATATATTTTCTCTCAATCTCTCTCTACATACACACACACCTTGAAGAGAATTTGCCTTGTATATTAATTCCAATAACTCAGGAAGAGCTGTCGATCATTTTCTAGGAGTTGATGGCTCATTTGTTGTTTGAATTTAATATAACGTCATGAAAGTGATTTTAAAATCCCATTTGAAAAGGAATAACTGATACCATCTTCTATGGGTATGGCACTTCGGAATTTCAAGTGTTTACACGAGCTATATTCTATTTTATCTGCTAACGACTTGTGAGGGTGGTCCCTGAAAACAAACTACAATTCCTTCAGGAATCAGCGTGCTTGATATGAATCTAATAAAAGGAAAAACAATTCGTTCTCCAAAGGAGGATTTTAAATTTCCCTTTATGCTTGTCCCTCCCCCCACATCTAACTTACTTTACTATATACAGTGGAACCTCGGTTCTCTAACTTAATTCATTCCGGACGGCTGTTCAAGAAGTGATTTGTTCAAAAACCGAGTAATTTTTCCCCCCATTAGAAATATTATAGATCGAATGAATTCGTTCCAGATGCCCAAATCATTGCCTGTTTTAACCTTTCTTATATATAGTACATGTCTAATGTACTATTTTACCTATAAACAAGCACTTCTTTTCTTAAAGTTATCAAACCACCTACTCGCCTTAAATGAATCTTTCAGGACTCATTCCAGCAGTATCTTTTAGGAGGTCAACATACAGCATCTTCACTTTTTCACATATCAATGAAATGCAGTCACCAGCTAATTGCTTTTCCTTTATCCAATCAACAAGTTTTTCTACCTCTTTAATTGCCTGTGATCACTGTTTCTTTCACACCCTAAGCCAGTGATGGCGAACCTTTTGAGCTTGGCGTGCTAGCATTTTGAAAAACCCTAACTTAACTCTGATGCCATGTCACATATAGAAATTTTTTGATATTTTCAACCATAGTAAAACAAAGACTTATATTTTTGATATTTTATATATTTAAATGCCATTTACCAAAGAAAAATCAACCAAAAAAATGAGTTCACGTGTCACCTCTGACACGCGTGTCATAGGTTCGCCATCACTGCCCTAAGCACTCCTGATGGCCTCTTTATTTTTTTTAATACACATTTTTAATTGTTGATAGGGCCTCTTTATCTTTTGAAATTGTGCTAATCATCCACTTTGCCAGCAACAAAGGCAAAACAACAATAACAACAACAACAAAAAACCCACAAAAATATTCACTGCACAATTTCCGAGATTTAGAGGTAAATTGACTGGCATTCCCTCCTTTATTTGTGGCCTAAGAGATGCTTTTTGTTAAGCTGAAAGGGCTGTCAGGTCCAGAACTAAACTTTTGTTCAAAGACTGAGACATTTTTTTCCATGAACAACCTCGTCAAAAACCGAAATGTTCAAGATGGGAGATGTTCGAGAACCGAGGTTTAACTGTACCTGTTGAAAAAGATTTGTCACTCTACGTTGTTTCATGGAAGGGCTACTGTTTCTAAAATCTATCATTTGCTGGTTTTATGTTGAATGTTCTATATTTACTTAGACTATCGTCTAATTGTACCCAAAAGGATACATATGAATTTATTATTTTAAAAAGTATCATTAAAAGTGTTTTTAAACTTATCATCAATAGTAGATTAAAACCATTATTGCAAAGAAAAAAAAAGTGTCTTTAAACTATATTTCTTTGGTGATGCGAGAACAAATACTTACAAAATCAGCAGGGAGGTGAAGCTTGTAAAGCTGTAAAATGGATTGAAGTAAACTGGACACCTGACTAGAGACCAGGACATCCTGGCCTAGTTTCGTGCTGTCCATCACTTTCCTCTGACTGGTGGCCACCTGCACACTCCACTTGTCCGTGTCTGCGATAATACAGACGGCTTCAGCTATGGGCTCATCAAGCACTGGATGCTGGAAGAGAAGCACAGCGGGTCAGGTTTTTGCAACACTCCAAATGACCTCGGAATGTTCAGGGTTTCTGTCCAGGATTAGACTCAGTTCAGAAGCTGATGGTAAGAGCTACAGAAATTTAGAGATTTACAGGGACTAAAATAAGAGTGTCATCATTAAATCATCATTTAAAAATTAATTTTATAAAAGCTGCATTTAATCGTTTCTTTCTTATACCCAGGAGGTACACTATAAATGTTATTAAATGTTCATACATAAGGAAAAGATACGTGCCCTCCCTACATTCAGGATATTAAAATTCATTTCTTTTTGAAAGGCTGCACTCTCCTCTTGAGATGGAAAATAAGATATTAGAATAAGGTGTAGGATTCTATTGCCATATCTCCAATAAGAAGGTGTGGCAGAGTAAATTAATATTCCCTTATAGTTTTAATCACTAAGCAATGCTTACTTAGTAAGTGCATAAATCAACTCCAAAAACCAACTGAAAGCAGACTGGGGTGTGAATTTATTTATCTGGAGAGCCCAAAAGGAAAAAATATGGCTTCTGAAGAACATACTTAAAATACAAAATCCTCAATAACCGAGATTTAGGGATAGAGCGGGTTAACTTAGTAAACTGTGCCACAGGGCAAATGGTAAACACTGAATTAGTCAAGGAAGAGGGCCTTACCAAAAAATCAATTTCTCAAAATTGATGAAAGTATAAAACTGCTTCAACACCAACACCTTTTATATTCATATTTAGTATCCCACATGTGTGCAAATCATTATAACAGGACTGTCCTCCTAGGCCCAAATTAAGAGAGAGAGTATACGGGACAGACACAGACACACCTTCTGGGCAATGGACATGAGCACATGCTTCTAACATTTACCAAAGGAAAACTGGTACTGCCTCCTTCTGTCACTCAATCCCTTCTACTACCCGGTGGGCATCTGTTGCTTTTGGCTACTTTAGCATATCTTCCTCCCAGTAAGTGCAACCTTATTTCCTTTCGGAGAATGACTTTCTTAGATAAGACCTGGAGGCCCCACCCTTCCTCCAGCAGGGTGTGCTAGCATGACCCAAGCTAGGCCAATTAGATGCTCCTTCCCCATGATTTCCCTGTGGTCAGGAGGACAAGAATGGTTGGCACCACCACTTTCCTAGTCCTTGGTTCCTGGACTTTCACAGTTGCCTTGTTTTCTGTCTATTCTAAGATTAGTTCTTTGGCCTTCTTATCAATTCTATGAATCTTTAATATCCTCCCAATACAGTTCCTTTTGCCTACGTTAATGACAGTTGGTTTCTGCTACTCACAACAAAGAACCCAAACAGATACACAGCCCTGCCTCAGATCATGATTACCTGAGAGTTTTAAGATCTAACACTAGTAGTGAAAAGACTACAAACAGGAACCCAAGGTGTATGCCGTCACACTGCAATTTTAGCAGGTGATTTGGCTCCCTCGTTGTGGGCTTTTTCATTGGAAGGGAAGTCTATCCAGCTTTGTGTTCTTTCTCACAGACGGGAGAAGTGACTGGTGGGTTGAATGGAAACTTTGTGGGGCCAACACCCTTTCCTATACTATGTTCATGAGGGAAACTTTCAGGGATTAGAATATTTTCTTATTGAAATAGTAACAAATCAGGCAAAGTTTAATGGTCCAACATTTATTTACTAGTAAGTGTATGTTCAAATAATCTCAAACATGAGAAATGAAGAATTTGACAAAGCAGATTCCTGAATTAATGAATCCCAGTTTCCTAAAAATGGTTCTCATTTTCTAGACTTGTTAATCAAACAGTGGAAAAGTTTTCTCACACATGACCCTGTATTCCCACTCTTACCTAAGGGTTTTGTGGCCCCTCACCCCTACTCTTCTGACACATACATATACACATTCTCCAAAACAGAAAGCCTCAGTGACTTCCCTTTACAAATTCCTGGAACTTCTTGCTCAATCAATGTGTCATTAATTCACAGCAAGATGACAATGACTTGTCATTGATGTACCTGGTCTCTATGAACAAAGAAAATGGAAATAAAGAAATTAAACATGGACACAGATAATAGGGTGGTGAAGGCCTGGGGCAGGGGGCAGGGGCAGCCTAGAAGAGGTTAATGGGGGAAAACAGGGTACATATGTAATACTTTCAACAATAAAGATTTAAAAAAAGAAATGAAAAACATTTGTATTTTGAGCTCAATCCTCTTTAATGCTTTGCATTTATCAGAAATTCACTGTGTGCTGGGTATAGCACAGAACAGATCTATAATATGAACCTTTCCTTCAAGGGACTTATATTCTGAGAGTATATATAATCATTACTGACCATATGCCCACACACACACACACACACACACACACACACACACACACACACACATATATATATATTATGAGTTTAGCTTTTTTATGGATTAATTATCTGCAGTAGATATTTGGGTCCAGTTCCTAATTCAAATCATTTCCCTAAGTGATTACCCACCACAGTAGTAGGGAAGGAAAGTTGAGTGTCAATCCAAGGAAAGTACATAGACTGTAACTTACATGGTACCACCACCACCAACAACACAAAGAGCTTTGTTTTAAGCCATAAACTGCCAGAATAGGAGCAATGAGGCTCCCTGGGAGGTGATGGATGGGAGATTCTCCAAGCATGAGTTACTTCAGATGGTTGTGGATTCACACATGATAACGAAAGGGGACGGAGAACTGGCTCAATTATTTTAAAAGGAGGAACTAAATGGGCTAGAGAATGTAAAAAACAATCAAATGTGAAAAATGAGCATGAGTCGTTTTTAAATCACTGGAGCAAAGAGGCAGCATCTGAGGTGGAAAACTGGGGAACGAAGAAAGATGAATGGGTCCATGGCCTGGGATAAACTGACAGAAATTTGGGAGCCCATTCCTTAAAACCAGGAGCTGAATCTTTGTTCCCTGTAATCTTAGCCCCTGGCATAAAATCTGGTATTTGAAAAATGTTACTAAAGTAATATGAAACAAGTTAAGCACAAGCAAATGGCAGAATTGATGAGCATGCTCCATTCCCTAACACAAGGTACTGCTGATTTTATGTATGCAGGCTCAAGGGACAGAAAAGAACCAGCTAAATGTTTTTAGAAAATTACTTAAAAAAATATTCAAAGAATTGCACCTTCCTAGGCCACTAAATAACTAACACACAATCCCCTGAATATTTCCACAGGGCAACCCAATTGCCTCCATCTAACTATATCATCCAGTAGCTACCCACTTATTTACTGAAAAAAGAACAATTTTTAAAGGCAGATGGAAATGGGAGGGAAATATAGTCGAGGAAAAAATAAATGAATGCTGGAGAAAGAGAAAAATATCATCAGCAACAACTTTAGTTACATTTAAGGGGCACCAGGGCGACCAGTTGCCCATAGGTAATATGGTCTAAACTTCTACTGGTGCACAGAGTTAAAGCTTAAGTTCCAGTGATTCTGGAAGTTTCTGAGATATATCTTTCCAAAGGAAACACAGCCTCATTAAAGAGCTTATTAGTTAATCTCTGAGATTTTAGAAGAGTGATTTTCAACCTTTTTAATCTTATGATGCACATAAACTAATTACTAAAATTCTGCAGCACACCAAAAATATATTTTTTTGTCGAGCTGATAAAAAAATAGATATAATTTTGATTTATTCACACTGGATGTTGTGTTAGCTGATATCATTTTTTAATTTGACAATCTAAGGGAAAAGAGGTTGTGCCCTTGACTAGTAAGATATTGCATGTTTTAAAAATTCTTGCGGCACACTGGTTGGAAATCACAGTTTTAGAATTTAAAGAACTCTAAGACCCAGAAGACCCTGGTTGGATTTATCACAGAAACGCACACCCGCACACACCCTATGCCCCAGTGTTGACTAAAGTTCCTGTTAGGGAAGGCTCTACTTTTAAGGCTTATAGAGAACCACAAATAAAGGAAATACTGAATTACATGTAGTATATTTATAATACTTTTTCTTATTAGCCTTATCTTAATTTTAGAAGCAATTAATAATGAAACCTGTTAGGGATTTTTTTTATCCTCACCTGAGGATATGTTTATTGATTATTTTAGAGAGATAGGCAGGAAGGGAGAGGGAGAGGGAAAGGGAGGTAGAGGGAAGGAGGGAGGGAGGGAGAAACATTGATATGAGAGAGAAACATTGATATGAGAGAGAAACATCAATCAGTTGCCTCCCATACGTGCCTCGACTGCAACCTGCAACAAAGGTATGTGCCCTGACCAAGAATCAAACCCACAACCTTTTGGTATATAGGATGACACTCCAACCAACTGAACCACCTGGCCAGGGCTAGGACAATTTTTTAAGTTCACAATTTTATCACATTCACGTGCACATCAGGGTACAAACACACACATTTCTCAGCCATAACATACATGGAGCAGTACTTTAAAGAAATGCTATAAAACGTAAGATGAAATGATTCCAACTTCTGTGAAATGCCTGACTCAACCATCTGCTATTCTTAGGGTTTTGAGCTTAGGCGAGGGGACTAGAAAAAAAGAAATAGCAGGTGAGACTTGGCTGCATCCCAACACTGACACATGAACCAAAGGAGTCTGGCTTCCTATGGCTCTTCTGTAAAAGGAGACACAATATAAATATCAGCTTGGCAAGCAAGATTACTTAGTAAGAATCCTCTTCCTAATATTAAACACCACCCCCCCCTCCCCACCAAAGTTCTCTTCCCAAACATTTCTGTCTCAGATTAAACAGAACCTCTGACATTTGAGTTTTGAATGAAAATCTGAAGAAAATATTAACATTAAAAACAGTCATTTCCACTTAAAATGCTTGTTTGGTTGAAAGCTTAACCAACCTTATAGACACATATATTAATTTCCCCTTTTTCTCTCAAGCCTGAAGAGAATCAATTTTAAAGTTCGTTTCTTGCCCACAGAGTTTGTTAAATTCTCTTATCAGAATGAGTCTGCAGAATGTTTCTACTTCCTCCACAATCTGAGACTTCAA